GAGTAGCTGGGATTACAGGTGCCTGCCACCACACCCGGCTAATTTTTGCATTTTTAGTAGAGACAGTGTTTCACCATGTTAGCCAGGGTGGTCTCAAACTCCTGACCTCAAGTGATCCACCCGCCTCGGCCTCCCAAAGTGTTGAGATTGTAGGCGTGAGCCGCTGTGCCTGGCCTCCCCAGTTTTCAAGAGTTTTGGCAAGGAAGTCTAAGACCAGACTGGCTGGACATGGCTTCACTCTAAAAGCATGCTATAGAAAGGATACTTTCTGATGAGCAGATGCAAGGTTTCACCCTCTTAGAGCTCCCTGAGACATGGTTTCTATTCCTAAGACCCTATTAAATATTTCTTTCTGGCTGGGCACGGTGGCTCATGCCTGTAATACCAGCACTTTGGGAGGCCGAAGAGGGTGAATCACAAGATCAGGAGTTCAAGACCAGCCTGGCCAATGTGGTGAAGCCCCATCTCTAACTAAAGATACAAAAAATTAGCCAGGCATGGTGGCAGATGCCTGTAATCCCAGCTACTTGGGAGGCTGAGGCCGGAGAATTGCTTGAACCCAGGAGGCGGAGGTTGCAGTGAGTCGAGATCGTCTGATTGCACTCCAGCCTGGGCGACAGGGCAAGACTCCATCTCAAAAAAAAAAAAAAAATTCTTTCTGAGAAACTGGGTCTGTCAGCCACATGCTTCAGCCTTTAGGGGTGGGTTTGCATATACCAGCTGTTGTGGAACATTTGCTGAGCCAGGCAGGAGCTGAAGAACCAAAACGTTGATCTTGTTGTGGTTCCTAAGCATGATGATTGGGTGTTCATGTGCTTATGTGAGATGTGCCTCTATCAAACTTTGTTACAACATCAGCACATTATTCATCTGATATGAAAAAAAAAAAAAAAGAAAGAAATGGCTAAGGGGAATGAAGCATCTGTGCGTGAAATCCCAGAGTGGCCAACATCTATGTGGGGTGGTATTATACCTCTGTTAGTTGCTTGTGGACCTCCGCATGAGTAGCGGGACATCCCGAAAACGCAGAAGGAATTATTACCTGAAAGCCATATAGTGCACTGTGGTAGGGGAGGATGGTGGATAACCTATCCAGTGGGCTAGCCACTTCTCTGGGCTGTTCATTTGGCATCAGCGGCCCAGCTAGCAGCAGAAGCGAAAACTAAATGGCTAGGGGAAGAATTGCAATGAGAAAAAGACATGTGACTTTCGACTTCTCTCCTTGCATCTCACATAATGAAGAAAATTGACGACCAAGAGAACAAAAATTAAAACCTTAGCCTGTAGATAGATTGGTCCGCAAAGGAGGAATGAAATGGAAATGACCAGAAATCAGAGCTGCCATACCTAAGCCCGATTGGGATGTGAAAACTTGAAATCCCTGGGAATGTTGCAGAGAGGAATATTCCAATGACTTAGAAGTCATAGCTGGATAGGGGAATGAAGATCATTGGCAAGCTCGCCCCTCATGCACAGTGAAAGCTGAACAACTCCAGCAATATGGGAGTCGACCAATCCAGGAGACTCTCGCTATCAGGGTATATCACCCTCACTATCACTATCTCACTGCGACAGAACTCATAAAGATTGCAAAGATGTTTAAACAACCACCTAAGGAACCACTGACCTCTTGGATGGTCCGATTGTGAGACACAGGGGTTTTCTTTAGCTGAGAATCAAGCAGAGAAAAATGAGTAACATCATTACCCATCCAGCCCTGCGGTGACACCTTTATAACCCAGGAAGAATAATCTTGTGGAATGGATTATTCTAGCTATGAGAGAGGCTTGGCCTAATGAAAAAGATTTACCATGAGGGACTACCTGCTGGTGGTCAATCAAATAGGCCCTGGGCCTTCTTTGGGAATTAGGAATGATGCAAGCCTGATAGAGCAGTTTGTACTGCCAGGGTGAAGAAGAAATTGCTACAGCATGCACCAAGAGAATGCTATGGCCCTTTGCTGTCTTTGTTCAGGCCTGGAGTGGAACAAGATGCGTATGATGTGGGACAAGCCATTGCAAATTTGGAAAAAACTGAGCAAACCAGGCACGGGGTAAGCTTGGGAACCCGATGAGGGCTAGCAAAAGGGAAAAAGAAAATCTCACAGCAAGAAAGACGAAAAAAAAGGAAAGGGACAGAGATAAGAAGCACATGTTAAGTAAATGTGGCATGATTTACTGGGAGCAGAAACACCCTAATAAAAAATAGACAAACAACCTACTGCTGTATTAGCAGCCTCATAGAGGAAACTACAGCCTGAACAGCCATTTCACTGCTTCTTTTCTGCCCCTCCTGCAGAAGAGGAAGACTCGACCTCTTCTTGTAATGCCCCAGCCTATCAGGGTGGATCCCACCCAGGCTCCAAAATTAGTAGGGCTGAGGTTAATCCCATGTTTGACCAATAGGTGGCGACCAGAAGCCCCATATTGAGCTCATCATTTTCTGGTCCTGAGAAATAAGAAGACAATTGCCTTACTAGATACCGGGATGGAATGTACTTTAAGCCATGTACACATTCAGAAAGACCCCTTGGTCAATGTGCTGCCATTGATGGTTATGGGGGACAAAAGATCCCGGTAAAAAGGACTTTAATACATCTCAGTTTGGGGAAAGTGTCCCCTGCCCCATATATGGTGTCTACTTCCTCTATTCCATAAAATATTTTAGGCATGGATATTCTGTTAGGAAAGACTGTGTAAACCTCAGTGGGAGAATTCAGATTAAAGGTGGGTATAGTACAGGTATTCTCAGAGGAGGTCAAAATGGAAGCCCGTACAATTCTCTGGCCCTAGGCAGGCTGTCAATGTTAAACAATACAAATTCCTGAGGAGCATGCTGTAGTAAGTGCAGCTATTGAGGAACTTAAAAGGTGCATATTATCTGGCCAGCTCAAAGCAAAATTATCAGTTCCATCTGGACTGCATGCAAACTAGACCGTTCCTGGCTGATGACTGCGGGTTACCGGAAATTGAACAAGGAAACCCTGGCTATACAAGCTGCAGTTTCTTAAATTACTCAGGTAGCCAACCACATTGTGTCTGTCCTGGGTGCACATCACACTGTCTTAGATTTGGCTAATACCTTTTTCTGCATTCTACCGTACAAATAATCACAAAACGAATTTGCTTTTACCTGGCAACGTTTCCAGTGTACCTTTCAAGTGTTGCCCTAGGGCTATGTCACACTCCTACAGTTTGTCACCTGATGATAGCTAGAGACTTGTCTTTGCTCTCATTCCTAACTTCTCTTTTTTGGTCTTCTTATATTTATAATATGATGTTAACCTCTGAGATGTTCATGTGTATTAGGAAAGTCTCAGGGCATTGTGCAGTCTTCTGGAACAAGGATAGGAAATCAACCCTTCAGAAGATCCAGGGCCCAGGGCCTGCAGTGAAGTTTTAGGGGTTACACAGTGGGGTAAGATTCCTTTGATATTGGGTACATTAATGGACAAAGTCCAATAACTTCCAACTCTGAAAACAGCAGAGAAATCCAAACATTTGTGGGTCTTTTAGGATATTAGAGAGCATTTATCTCACCCTTAGCCCAATGTTTGAGGCCACTATATGGACTTATTAGAAAAAGGACACATTGACACTGGGACACATCACAGCAGGGAGCTTTGAGCAGGCTAAAGTGCCAGTATAGCAGGCAAAAGCCTCAGGCACCCCTTTAGAAGGAGTAGCAATGACTTTGGATGTTACTGCTACTCCTGTGGGCAAGAGTTGGGCCTTATGGCAACCACAGTATGGTAAATCAATCCCTTTAAGATTCTGGTCACATTTATGGAAAGGAGCAAAACCGGATACTGAAAGAGGAGATTATCCCTGACCCCTTCATAGGCCTTATGATGGGGTGCCTTGCTTACTCAGCCCATAGCTCTCAACTCCTTGTGGGATGGGGAGCATGCAGGTGAGCAAATGTAAGAGCCAGGGCAAGTGCTTTTGGGTGCTGGCAGGAGCAAAACACTGTGCATGCCCCAAGGCAGTGTCTAAGGGTGATAAAACACCTATGGCCTCCAAAGCCCCAGAGGCCATGTGTTACAGTGAACTCTTTCAGCTTTACTGTCTGCAGATGGCTTAAGTAAGTGTTTAACAGCTCAGTGGACCCTCTGCCTTTTCGTGACGGCAGAGGGTTAGTATGACAGCCCTTTGTATCCCGAGCTCTTGTCCAGCGTCCAGGAAAAATCAGATTGCACAAATGATTTGAAGGATAGCAAATGCGGGGGATTTTATTGCCGATGGAAGTGGGCTGTGAACAGGAAGAGGAGCTGGAAAGAGGAAGCAGTGGGAGGGTATTCTTCCCTGAAATCTGGCCGTCTTCGGCCAGACTATTCTCCAAAGTCCTGCCTTCAAGCCATCCCTCTGAAGTCAAACTGCTTCTCTCCAATGTTCAACTGCTTCTTTTCTTCTCCCCTTCTCTGCTCTCTGCCAGTGAAGCGTGGGTTTTTTATGGGTACAGGATGGGGAGCAGGGTGGGCCAGGGGTGGTTTTGGAAAGGGCAACATTTGAGCAGGAAAATGGGGATGTAAAGTTCTCACTTTGGGCTGTGGTTCCAGGCTTGAAGGCGGGGCCCTCGACAGGAACTCCACCCTTTTCTGCCTAGAATTTCTCTGCCTCCTGTCCCTATCAATACTCTCCCATTGAACAAGGGCTAGCAGTGTTTAATGCTTTACAGCAGGTGGAGTCACTGGCAAAGAGTCTTCCCGTGACTGTGAGAACCGGTCTACCAATCAAGGGATAGATAGAAGGATTATTTAAATCACCCACCTCCTTTTAAATCTCAAACATCTACTTTGAATAAATGGCATGCCTATTTGCAACAATGAAGTGTCCTGGTAACCAATCCCTTACGGCCAGAATCGCATGCTGTGTTAGGCCTTGTTACATGTGAGCAACCAACCTCTTTGCCCCTTCCTACTCCAGTGCCTAGCACAATAAGAAAAGGAGTGAGCATCCCTGACCATGCTTGGTATACAGATGGCTCCAGCAAGGGAAGCCCCTGTACTTGGACCGCTGTTGCTATGTGACCACAAACTGATACAATCTGGGTTGATATTAAGTACCCACCACAATGGGCTCAGTTGCAAGCTGCTTGGTTAATAATCACATATAGGCCCTGGCCCCTGGCTCTTTGCACTGATAGCTGGGCTACATTCAAAGGCCTAATTATGTGGCTAACCCGGTGGGAACAAAAAAAAAATGAATATTTATGCACAAACCCATATAAGGCATAAATATGTGGCAGGACATACAGAGAAGCGGCAACACCCTGCAGCTGATGAAAGAGTTGGTACGTCACGTAATGGTACACAATAGGACTCAGTTCCAGGAAATATAGAAGCTGACACTCTAAGAACAATTAGAAGCATTGTGTTGTCACAAGCCAAGGAATAGAGACCTGGGTACATAACAAAAGTAGTGATAGAAGTGCAAGAGTAGGCTGGGAAATAGCCAAGAAGGCAGGATTGCCCTTAAAATATAGCAACCTCCCAATGGCTTTTAAAAATGTTGATATGGTTTAGCTTTGTGTCCCCACCCAAATCTCATGTCAAATTGTAATTCCCACATGTCAGGGAGGTGACTGGATCATGGGGGCGGTTTCCTCCATGCTGTTCTCATGATAGTGGGTGAGTTCTCACGAGATATGATGGTTTAAAGGTGTTTGGCAGTTCCCTCCTTACTCACTTTCCCTCCTGCCGCCATGTGAAGAAGGTCTTTGCTTCCTCTTCACCTTTTGCCATGATTGTAAGTTTCCTGAGGCCTCCCCAGCCAAGTGGAGCTGTGAGTCAATTGAGCTTCTTTCCGTTATAAATTGTGCAGTCTCAGGTAGTTCTTTATACCAGTGTGGAAATGGACTAATACAAATGTTTACCACATTCTTTTTTTTTTTTGGAGATGGAGTATTGTTGCCCAGGCTGGAGTGCAGTGGCATGATCTCCACTCAGTGATTCTCCTGCCTCAGCCTCCTGAGTACCTAGGACTACAGATGCGTGCCACCATGCCTGGATAATTTTTTTTATTTTTAGTAGAGACAGGGTTTCACTGTGTTAGCCAGGATGGTCTCGATCTCCTGACCTTGTGATCCGCCCACCTTGGCCTCCCAAAGTGCTGGGATTACAGGCGTGAGCCACTGCACCCAGCCTACCACATTCTTGATTGCATCCACACTGTATACCATATCATGCAAGGCACACTCATAGGGCTGTCTACCCTATAACAGATCAGCAAGTGAATTATATATATATATAATATATATATATTATATATATATATTATATATATATATTATATATTATATATATATTACATATATATTATATATATATTACATATATATTATATATATATTATATATATGTTATATATATATTATATATATATATGTTATATATATATTATATATATATTATATATATATTATATATATATATTATATATATATTATATATATATTATATATATATTATATATATATATTATATATATATATTATATATATATTAT